TCCGTCGTGGCTTCTTTGGAGCTTCGAACTTGTTCTCGACGCGTGCCGTCTCCCGTTAAACATGCCCCGTTGTAGTCGGGCCATTTTCTTTAGCCATTTCTTTTCTTTTCTTTTCTTTACAAAATCTCAACACCGTCTCGTTCGTCCCTTTTGTATAACGATTATACCGTGCGCTCGACTGGGATTTCTCTCGCCAAACAACCGGCTAATCCGCGCGTGAATCCAACACAAAACGCGTTTGCTTGCTCGTTCAAAGGTAGGTAAATCCTCCTTCCCCCCTAACCCCCCTTGGAAATGTCCCTTTATCACAAACGCCAAGACTCTCTCTCTCTCTCTCCGCTATACACACCTACTTGGCTCGAGAGCACTCGAACCGTAGTGTTGTGCCGTCGAGACAGATAAATTGTAACGTAATTAAATTTACACCCTTTGCTGTGTACACGCGAACAAGTAGAATCGTCGTTTCGTGCGAATTAAAACTCGAGTGCCGTTTCTTGGAAACTCGAGCAAAGGACGGTTGAACAAAATGGTAGTTTTCCTACGAGTTTGAAAAGTCTCTGTTTGCGGCCCGAGCCGAAGGCGAGGGACGTAACGAGGTTCGTAAAGGAGACTTTTCGAACGAGTTCCGGAAAACTGCTTTTTCGCCCGAGGAAGTACCAGCCTCCCAAAACCACCCAAGGGCGGAAAAAGTAATTTCTGATTCGCTCGTGCAAACGATTATTATATATCCCGTGCCAGGGGCCCGTGCAATTTGTCAAACAATCCTGGCACCGTATCAAAGTACGGTATGAATGAAGAAACAAAAAAAAAAAAAAAACAAAAAAAAGAAGCTCAAAAGGGAGGAAAACAATACAATGTAAACAAGATCTGATCGCAAGTGTAGGAGGTGAGAGTAAAGAGTATGGTTACCTGAGGCAGGATCGTTGAGCGCGGCGGCCCATGTGACAACGAGGGCAGCCAGGCCGGCGAGGACGAGCATCGTGTATCGTACGAAAGTACACACGCGAGAGGGTTCAGCTATAATAGCGTTGTCGTTGGCGCGCCAACGTTGACTGCGGGCCGGCCGCTTTGCTCAGCTGCAGCATACGCACGCACCCTCGAGTAAAACTTCCTCCCTCCTTCTCACTTTACCCCCTTGGCTCTAGGCTGCAGTGGCTCTGCGATGTTGGCGCGCGCGGGCTTTTACTCGCGCACGCGCCCACCACTTGACGATGATGATACCTACACCGTATTTGTATATATACCTATTATATTTGTGTATACCTACCCAGAAAGGTATATTTACAAGAAATACCTATATATACCTGCAGTTTAAGCCCCTTTGAGCTTCTTTACGCACAACCAGTGAAACCAAGTAATTGGAGGATTGTTTTTTTTTATGTCGTCTTTTTGGTAAAATTTTCGGGGAAGAGGGGTCGTTGCGGTTAGGAAAGTATTTGCTGACTCGTCATGCCTAATTGGAGAGAAAATTTTACTTGTCGAGTACGTACCGTATACTTGCACACGCTCATTTTAATCGGCCCTTTACCCTTCACAGCCAAGCATCAAAGATTCTAATTCGTATCGTGTACCCACTTGACACGTACATTTATAGGGTGATGTTGACGAGTATTTTCGTTTTTTCACCCAATAATCCATCTGTGCATGTGTGTGTATTTTTCTGTTTGTTTGACGAGTGTTTAGCGACATTTTCACGCGCCCCCCGAATTCTGTGTAAATATATACTTACAGGCTATTACGTTTGACGCGAGTCAGTTTTCTTTTTTTTTTTTTTTTTTTTTTGTTTCTTCTTTTTCCTCGCAGCAGTTGTTAGTACAAGAGTTTTGTACGTACATGTGTATTGTCGCACTGGAAGTGGTCCTCGCGTCACTTCACGCGCTACAATCGAGAAAATTGGGTCGTACAGCCACTGTATGTATACAGGTAAGGCGTGAGGGACAAGAAAATAGGTTTAAGTTTGTGTAATGGTGCTTAAACTCACCGTGTCGTCGAGTCACCAAGTACTTATAGGACATCCCGTCGCTTATTTAAAAATTTCTCTCATCGCATTTTCATAAATTACACTGTCGGACGGTCGTATAGTCGTATTTAACAGGGGGCGAAAGTAGCCAAGGTATATAAAATTGCTGACTGGCGCATACGGATGTGGATGTATATATACACGAGAGGCCAGTGCGGCGATTCGCAGGGGACTTGTGTATCGTTGGGCTGATGTATACACACACGTGTACGAGGATATTAAGGAATACATTTAACTCGAAGGAGCCTATTTCGTTGGGGACGGGGCTACGTGCTGATGCCGTACTTTCGTCGACGACGACAAAGTGATCACCTTTGAAATATTCAATTGGACCGACCCTCCCCGTGGGCCGACTGGTATACGAGTTCCTCTCGCTCGCTCGAGACGAAGGAGCGACGCGGAATGACGGACGGGAAAGGAGCTCGGGGCGATAAAATTCCGACTCGTCCCATTTTTTTTTTTTTTTTTTTTTTTGTACATTATATTCTCTGTCCCGCCATCCGTCCCCTTCAAACATTTCGTCTTATTTGCATCCTGCCCGCGCCTCTCGCTTGCGCAATCAATATATTACAGGCTCTAGGTACAACTATGATCTTACTTTCGAGTTGGCGACGTACCATACGCTGCCGATCTCCGAGATCGGTAAAATTAAAGCATCCCTTCCGTTACCAAAACGGGACAACGAAACGCCGGCAAAGTATGTAAAAGTTTGCTCCTTCGCTGCGGTGCGCAAAGACCAAAACACAAAAGCTAACAACAACTCTCCGTATACATGCGTGTACGTGATACGCCTCGTGGGCGCTGAATTCGCGGGGATAGACAGCCCTCGTCGATCGATGACAGGAGTTGGCTCTTGGCCGCGATCTCCGCTGCAGTAGCGGATCGATTTCAATTTAGGCTCGTTAGGGGCAAAAGCGCGCCAACGGATAACGAGCTTTCGAAAGTCGTACACACGAGTTGGGCCCCCACATCTATCTCTCTCCCCCCCCCCCACCCTTTCATGGTCCGGCACGTACACACACACACGTTGTGTAGCACACGCGCGTGCAACAATCATCCATACACCGCACCCGGTATTAAACCGAGAGAGCGCACGATTTTCTCCGATCCTGGGTGTACGTGGGCGCACGGGTGTGTACATGGATGTGATCGGCACACCGGAGCCCTGACTTCCCTCCGTCCGCGCGTGTGAAATTTCGTAGGCTAAACGATGAGCCAACGACTGCAGCGGAACCTTATCACGTTGGCGCGACGAGCTCGGTGGAGTTGTTCTTTGATGGGTCGCGAGGGCAAGGGAACAAAATCAAACCAAATCGTGTATCGATGTATCGCCCACGTCTCAGCGTCTCGGGCTTTGGACGACAAAGTCTTAACAGTTACACCCAGTGCCGATCCTTGTTTGGGGAATGTCGTTCAATAATTTAGTTTACCGATGGGATTGGCGTTGACGGGTAGCTTTCAAAGTAGGGTCCAACTTTCGACAAAACCATAATACGTATCCAAGTCCCATACCGAAAAACCATAAGCTAGTACACCTCGTACAAAAAAAACAAACGAACAAACAAACAAACGAGTATACAGCACTTTATACGATGTGAAACAAAACAAAACAAAAAGTCACACCCCCAACCGTACCTATGTAGTGTGGGCATGTGTATAATGTGAGTCGATGATAAAAGGCAGTTCCTCTCTTGGTGTCTGTGTATAAAACTGTGGCGTCTCGACGGCCGCAAAATTACAGTATTTTGCGGCAATGAGCGTACGGGGGTCGCGAGATTAGAAAAGGAGCCTCGAGAGAAAATTATACGTACATCTCCCTCCCTCTTATACATATACATACGTATAAACCACCACCGACGCCAGGGAGTATCGGACAAACTACCCCGTCCTTTTGGTATGAATGCACCATATCTGTCTTTCTCTCTCTCTCTCTCTCTCTCTCTCTCTCTGTGTGTGTATACGTGTGTGTGCTTGCACGCAAAAGAGAGCTTTCGCCGCTGTCGCGTGCGCGCCCCTCTTCGGCCTCTCGATCGTTAAACTGCCTATATTCTCATCCTTTCTTGCACAAATACCCGCCCACGTGGGCACGCGGCGCAGGGAGTAGATCCTTAAAATTCCGAGCCTTTTTGCAAGTCATACGCGTTAAGGAACAGCTTTTCCGTGCACACACACACACACACACACCGGAATAAATTGCCGAAAGGAAACAAGCGGGGTAGAGGGTGGCGGGGGATGGCCGAGCTTGAAATTTTCCAGCAGAGCCGAGCGGTGGCCGTATAATCAACGGCGCGAGAGATAAATGTCTCATTGCGCGCGTAATTATGCGCGTCCGTGTGTTTCTTCTTCTTTCCGCAGTTTCCTCCGCGTGTGTCGGCGACTCGCGAGCCACAAACGAAGCTAATTTTTTGAAACGCTCGTCCACGCTATAATTGTCTCGGGTGAGAGTAAAGGAATAAAAGACGGAGGGTAGACGTTCGTGGTTTGTTTGCCGCGTTTTGCCGCTCGAGAGAATACATTATTATACTTACCCGACTGCAGCGTCGATTTCGTAGAGATTCGGCTGTGATGGAGCGTTTGGATGTATATTTTTGGATAAAGGTGTCATCACTGCCCACCAGAGGTTGCGTGTCACGTAATTGTTTTTTATTTTCATACTTTTCGTACATATTCTCGCAGCAACAACTTTGATATACATTCATTACATATACATATACGCAATACATATTGTACTAAGGTATACATCTATATATTATATATGTACCACTGTTGTTTCCATTGTGTGCGAGTAATTCGTGCAAACTTCGGCGTATTGGAATATTCATTGTAACCATTACAGGTACAGCCAACCAGTAAAACGCGGTGGTTGATTGAAAAATACAGTTTGGTTTTTTTGGAAAATCACAATTTTTTTTTTTTTTTTTTTTGTTTTTTTCGAAAGTGTTTAACGTTTTGTAGAAAAAATATAACAAACACTTGAAAATGTAAGAATCTATTTTTATAAACCCTCCACGATCCCGTTGATTTACAAATTATTTGTTTACAGAGCATTAAAAACTGTCCTTGTGTAAAAATATCCCACCTCTCGTCGTAAACTTTCAAGCCGCAAAGAAGCACCTGTGAATGTATTTCGTAAGGCATACATAAATATTTCTCTCTGATAACATTTTTCACCACAATAACTCGGATTGTTGATGAAGAAAAAAATAGAAAAATAAAATAAATTCCTCTCAATGGACGACAGAATTGTGCCCGATGAGGAAAACGTGGCATGCGTTGCACACCCTTACGGGCTTGGTCGAGTTTGGCAAGGCGATCGTATTGTCACTGCACGTGTTACAGAATATCTTGCCGCAATGCCGGCAGTGGTGCTGAAAACAAAGAAAAACAAATTTTTATTCATTTTCACGCGTACAGGTGTAGTGTATGTATATATATGGGTACATATATATATGTACACATATACGCGGATTCGTCTGCGCAATAAATCACTTGGGCAACGCACTTTGTTATTTGTTTCGCGTCCGTCCGTCCGCACACCTCTCTGGGTGAATTATGATATTCACGTACCGTCGATCCCAATTGATACTACCTTTATGGTACGCGCACACGCGCAACCCCTGCAACGCACGATCCTGTTGACTTTTTCACTTTTTCTTTTTTTTTCTTTTTTTTAATTATTGCTTGTTAAAAAAATGAGCTTCCACCACCTCTACGCCACGTAAAAACACGAGCGAGCCCCTGTACTATTATCGGCGAGGTATAAGCGAATAACCAAATTAAAAATCAATTATACAAAGCCTGAATCATAGAATCCGAGATTACTGTGTAAATTTCGCACGAGAGCGGAATAAATTTAATATGATCAATGAAGGAGATCTCTCTTTCTAGCCGCACTTATTTCATGAAATTAGGAACGAAATCAATGATGCAACAACAAAAAAAGAGATGATCGTCGAAGAAAAAGTACAAAATTATGCGCTCAGTGACACAACGGGGTTATCGGAACGGGTGATTGGCAATGAAAATAATGATAATAATAATTGATCGAGAGAACGTGTCACTTTTCGATTGGTAATCCTCACTCTCTCAATTATTCATTCAACATAAAACTGTCATCTACCATGTGTAGGTATACCTGATGCATCAACCATGTATTTGACAACTGCGCGCATTGTAAATTACTTTTTTCAATTGATGCCGCAGCCGAGTAGCGTATGGCTGACCTATCGTGTACTTGTACTACTTAAAATACGCGCATGGAGTATTTTTGCTGTAAAAATTTTAATCGCACTGGCCAACCGATTGATTTAATACTTGGATTACAATGTGTTATGTATATGTTATCGGACTAGTTACAGTTTACCTCTTTTTTTTTATTGTTTTTTCAATTATTTTACACACCATAAATGCTAAGAAAAAGAAAAAAATAAAATAAAATATCCAACAGACATTTTTGAAATAGCATACATACATACATTTATTGACTTTTGTGTGTTTTCATTGGTAGTTGCAACATATTTTTTCGTTGAAACACCTTGAGGTTTGATGATTTGAGGAAAAAAAAAAAAAAAAAAAAAAAAAACATGTGCACTCAATTGGACGCATGAGTTGTTTGATTCGTGACGGGTCACGATGAATTATCCACCTGGACGTGGCTCTGCATCACGAGGAAAAGGAAAGACGGAGATAATACGGATCTAAACTCAACGAAGTGCAAAGGCCCCTCCATCTCTTCCACAGCCAATGACGAATGGGCCATTGATTATCGCGAGAGTATAATACCTATATACTCCTCGTCTCCATCGTTTCTTACCTCCTCCCCCCCCCCCCCGCCATTATCCGTGGAACTCTCGATGAACGAGCACTAACCATCGCCGACCGATACCGAATGCATTCGCTGATTCGCCGGTGCAAATCGTGCTCCCGAAAATCGGTACTCGGTAATTTAATGCGAACAAACGCTTCGACAGCCGTAACTAGTCTTATCAAAACAACAGAGAGGGATGCAGACACGTTGAGAAAGATAACTCGGAGTAAGTATACATTATTATGTACACGTACGAGGTTTTAATTGCCTATGTGCGCGTCGATGAAAAATCAAACGGCTCCTCATCGCTCGTCCTCGGATCCAACGAGTCGGAAGGAATCAATAGCTCTCGCAAGGATTGCGCTTGCCTGGATCGAGTATATGCAGCGAGAAAAAAAAAAAAAAAAAAAAAAACAAGAGGGAAGCGCACCGATGGCGTGTCGAAAAAAAGTTTGTTCCCCAAAGGAACGATAAGACCGACTAAGGCTTTCCGGTGGCAAGGGGTGCTCCGCGGAACCCTATACTTTCGACGGGGTGGGGGGAGGGTGGTTGGGAGTTATCCACTCCGTGAAAAAGACAAGCTTGCAAGCACACGAGCCGCCCCCGTGCAGTTACGCGAAAACAACGGACCACCGTATACACAAGTATAGGCTCACACGTGTATACCTACGTATTTTTCGCGCCCCCTTTGGTGTGTAGGGTACGTACTAATGCCCCAGGATGCGGTTCATGGTCCCATCAACCATGTTGTACATGCTAATACGCGTTCGGTGTGTGTGAGAGAAAAAAAATGAAGCAGCAGCTCCGAGCTTGTTATTATGCAATAACCCCCGATATATGTATCTCCATCCGCTGTGTGTACCTATTCGCATGTATGTGTGTCACGGGGGGGAGGAGGGTTGTACGAGCGATTCCTTGTAAAAAAGAAAAAAGTAAGTTGTATATTTTCCAACGCTTTTGTCCCATATTATTTCGCGCCAATGAGGTTTTGTTTACAAGGGGTGTAAAGTCACCGAGGGATACACGTTGTGTGTACATTTTGTCAGAGGAAATTCGCAAATTTGGGGTGAGAAAAAAAAGAAAGTACAAAGTAAACAAATTTTTCGTGGAATCGCTCGCGTATATCCCAAGTCACGATTGTGTATATGCATATATAGCCGCGACGTTTCTATCGTCAGCTGCAACGATGACGACGACGACGACGAAGCTTTTCTTCTGTATACCTATAAGCATACCTATACATGTACGGGCTGGTGATGAAGTCAGCCCGGCTACCGTTGCATGTATACATAATATGTATATTGGGGCTCGAAAAACCGGACGCTTGTCACTCCTCGTCGACGACGGCTATATCGCTAATCGCGCCTGCATATCTACGCCGACCATGCGGGAGTCTATACTTCGGTCCGGTCGCCACCCACTCGTCCGTTAACTCGCTTAAAATGGCAATGTAAAGTACAGGTGCATCGAGCTGACCATTTTTAGGTTTGGTAAGTATAATCGATGCTTTTTGAAAAATACAATGGCCTTGTAAGGTCACGAAAATGGCACTCTCTCTCTCAGAACCAGCTACGAAGGAGCATAGAGGACAAAGGAGGGCTGTCATTGGACTCGATTATTTCCCATTGGACTTTTAAATCATGTAGCCTTTTACGAGAAAACAATCAAAGCTACCACTAGCTGAAAGGTAAGTTACAAGACTAAACTTATCTTCAACACGTTTTCTCGATTATTAAAAACGCGGTTCAACGTATGATAAAATTGCGCCCGTGTACTACGGTACACTTAAAACGGGACCAGCAATTACTTTGTCGGAGCAAATTGGGAGTGAGGTATGTTGGGTCGTCCTTTGATAAAATTAACGGTAAGTAAGTCGAAGGGCACCCATAGAAAATCAAAGTTCGTACACACATATAGGGTAACGAGTAAGTATATATAGGTATGAATTTTAAGAAAAAATACTCAAACGAAGGAAGAATCTTCTCTGACAAGCCGTATACACGGGTGTAGATGTATAATTATACGTAGGAATAATTGAGGCAGGAAACCCAAGCAACTCATCGCATCTCGCGGAGCCCTATGAAGTACCCGTATAATATACCTACATTCATCCTCTAAGTTTAAGCTTCTTTTCTGCTCTGTCGAATTCAGAGTTCGAATACCTCCATACGAGATGTATGTAACATAAATACCTCCACCCCGAGTCGTAAATAAAAGTTTAATTTGACGATTTCCTCGGATAGAAGGAAGTTGTGGGTACGTGTACCTCTGAAAAGAGAAGAGGTAAAATCTTGGAACCTTGGAAAAGAGCGCAAAGAGGTGTGGAGCGTGTATAAAAAAAAGGTATGCTATGATAAAAAAGTTGTAAGGTATATGTGAATGGTATATACCTTGCGCCGAGAGATCGTGAACTCGCGGCTGCACCCGTTGCATTGGGTGACCATGCGGTCGTGGTCCCAGGCGGCCAAGGACGCCCCAACCGTAGAGCCGCAACTGTCCGGGCTGCCCGGCTGAGCCGCGGCCTCGCGCAACTCCACCGCTGCCAGTTTCGCCTTGCTCAACTGGACCCCCAGCTCCTCGAGGGTTTTCTCCTGCTCCTCGCAGATCTCCTTCAACGCGTAGTGCTCCTCCTGCAGGGCCTTGTACTTCTGTCAACATTTTTCAGTCACGGTAATATATCAGTATACACTCTCCTGCCGTACACTCTCTCAGAGGGCTCATGCACGTTACAGTTTTTTTTTTNACATATGTGTCAATCAATCTTACCTTCGATAAAACCTGATACTTCCCTCTGTCACTTTGTACCACTGTACACTGATACTTTATGGTATACCATGTTGCACGTGCAATTTTTTTTTTTTTTTTTTTTTTTTTTTTTTTTTTTTTTTTTTTTTTTATTGGCTGCTCTCGTAGGTGTTTTTTCTTTCTTTCGTACGGTTTATTTTACCGAGCAATGCACTGAATATTGATATTGGTCCCGGAAAGTTTCAAAAATACCGATGATCGTCGTTATTCTTGCATCTCGCGGTTACGGGGTCGGAAATCCCGATGCTTCCGATGCAGCTGGGGTCTCCTTCGCGAGAACAATCGAAGTATTTAAATATTTAAAATACGACCAGACATGGAACGAGAGATCACCAATCAACGCCCGTGGATATTATTATAGCCATGTGTGTGATTTGGACTCGAATGAAATAAAAAAAAAAAAAAAAAAAAAAATCGATCCCTCGGCTGAGCATGAATTAATATTTAGCGGTTGACGTAATTGCAGCCTCGATTGATTCGGGAGTTGCTCAAAAGAGACGCGTGTGTAGGTATATTGTAATGCAGTCGCAAGTGTATAAATATACTGTCGGCCGAACCTCGGAATTGATTTTCAGTCGGTCGATATCCTGGTGGAGCTGCGAGATTTTCTCTGCGTTGCCGATCGAGGTCTGCTGGAGCGAGGCGCGCCACTCCCTCTCGACTTTGAGCTCCCTTTCGACGCCGCTGGCGCGAGCCTCGCGCTCCGCGATCTCCGCGCCCAACGTTCGCGCCCTCTCCTCCGCCATCGCCCGCGACTCCTCCGACGCCTTGTACCTGCATGGCCACACGACATACATATGTGTCAATCAATCTTACCTTCGATAAAACCTGATACTTCCCTCTGTCACTTTGTACCACTGTACACTGATACTTTATGGTATACCATGTTGCACGTGCAATTTTTTTTTTTTTTTTTTTTTTTTCATCAACTTGTACCGTATCGTTAGTGAGTATTTATACGTATATGGCTAAGCGAGCACGCGTTTGATCGATGCGCCGTTTATTACTTTACGGATTTTCGCACCTAATATGAAATTCGTGCTTGCAGAGATGTAGGTATATCTTTTGAAAAAACCACTTGTGTGCGGAATACGTTTTTTTTTTTTTTTTTTTTTTTTTTTTTTTTTTTTTTTTTTTTTTTTTTTTTTTTTT